AAGAAAATTTAAATCAAATTTTGAGTATTTTACAGAAAGAAGATTTTTTCTGTAGTGTCGATCTTAAAGATGCTTATTTTAGTGTTCCAATTGCAAAAGAGTTTCAGAGATATTTGAGTTTTCAATGGAACAGAAAGGTTTATTGTTTTGTGGTTTTACCATTCGGATTGTCTTCAGCGCCCAGAATTTTCACAAAGATTTTAAAACCTGTGTATGCTTACTTTAGATCCATTGGTATCAGATGTTCCTATTATCTGGATGATTCTTTAATTATGAATCAAAGTTTGGCTTATTGTATGAAGAATACTCAATTCATTATAGATACCTTACATTCATTAGGTTTCTATGTTAACTTTGAGAAAACCGTGACAAAACCAACTCAAGTAATTGAATTTTTTGGGTTGATAATTGATTCGAAAAAGTTCATGGTATTTTTACCAAGGGAGAAAATAGATAAGATAAAAAGTACTGCTCAAAATTTATTGCAGGAAGAATGTATTAGTATTAGAGAAGTGGCAACTTTCATAGGGCTTATTGTACATGCATTTAATGCAGTTTCCATAGGACCCCTTTATTACCGATCTTTAGAAAGGGACAAAGTTAAGGCATTGAATGAAAATGGTGATGATTACGATGGAAGTATAAAATTATCTAGTCAAAGTAAGAATGAAGTAGTTTGGTGGATATAAAATATCGAAATAAAAAATGATAAACTTATTCAATTACTGCCCATAGATTTTTGGATAGAATCTGATGCGCCTCTTGTGTAGGAATGGGTGCTGTTTTTAGAACAGATTACTTTAGCAGACAGTGGTCAGAAAGAGAGAAAAAGTTCCATATAAGTTATTTGGAGTTATTGGCCATATTCTTTGCTTTAAAGTATTTTTTTAAAGATCAAACAAATATTCATGTCGGTATAAAATGTGATAATAGGACAGCCATTTCCTATGTCACACTCACTCACTCACTCAGTCGTCCTTAGACGACCAACTACATGACCGCTCCAGTTCTTCCTGTCAGCCATTAGGGAAGCTAGCTCTTTTGTATCCCTTGTCTTTGTGTCACGCTTCAGTGTGTCTAAGAACGTGGCCTTGGGTCTACCTCTCCTACGGTGTCCGTGATTTGGCTCCCACAGTACCAAAGGTTGAGCGCTGAGCTCTGGATGACGGAAGCAATGCCCAGCTAGCTGCAATCTCCTGGAGGCTATCTTATCACTGACCTTTGGGAGGTTACTATATAGGGACTCGTTGGGAATCTGGCTTGACCAGTGGATGTCTAAAACCTTACGGAGCATGCGTGTGTAGGTTCCGTCTAGCGACTTCTCCTGGGCTACTGTCAGGGTCCAAGCCATACAGTAAATTGACTCGATTGTGGCTATGAAGAAACGCAACTTGAGATCACTCCGCATTGTTGAACATGGGCATTGTTGAGCGCCATTCATCTTGTTCAGCCTGCCAGGCTAAAGCTTTCCGCACAGCTATGTCCTTTTCCGAACTTTCAACCCAGGATCCAAGATTCGATTTCAGTGCCATCTAAGGTTTTGAGTGGAGAAGGGTTGTCAGTATTGAAACAAGCTAATTCAGAGAATTCGTGTCCCCCGCTTAGGGAAAAAGTCGGCTCCCCCTGACTGAATTTGTAGAATTATTAAATGTATACATGTATACTGAAGCAAATAAAATACATGTATGTCAATATGCATATAAAGATTTGATTGCTTATTCTTTATTATGTGTATAGAAGATTTTTTTATATGGAATATTTATCACACTGTAATGATGATTTTATAACCTCATAAATTTTTCATTTCACATGCTGAATACTATCATTTAGTAAAAAAAAAAAGCATTTAAAAAAAAAAAAAAAAGGAAGGATCGGCCGAGATTCGATCCCGGGACCCACGGAATCGCTTTACCCGGTGTGAAGTATATGCAGAACTGAAGTCACATACATGTATATATTCATGTTTTCATGTTCGGTATTGTCAAAATTTTACACAATCCATGGTGTTTGATTTATTTAGCCTTTATTAAACAGTTCTAATAGATGTAATAAGAACATAAAGTCCGCCGAGAACCTGTTTTATACGCAATAACTCTCCTCATGCCCCTGCACTAAAAATAACGACATGTAATACTATAAATACTAATAAAACAAACAGGGCGGGGCACTTTGAGAGGGGCGAGAGACGTCCTAGGGAGTTTTGGTATAAAATTACATTACATAAGCTCAAAATCTTCTTGAAATATCGTCCGGAAATGATAGTGTTACACACAGACAGAATGTATAAATTTACGACCTTGAACTTTGACCTTTAGACCTCAAAATCAATAGGGGTCTTCATTAGGCCACAGGGAGTTGTTATGTAAAATTTCATTGCAATAGCTCAAATGGTTCTAGAGATATCGTGTGGAAACGAAAGTGTTTTAACAGACAGAATTTGCTTATTTATGACCTTGACCTTTGACCTTTTGACCTCAAAATCAATAGGGGTCCTCTTTAGTCCATAGGGAGTTGCTATGCTAAATTTCATTGCAAAAGCTCAAAGGGTTCTTGAGATATCGTGTGGAAACGAAAGCGTTACAGACAGACAGAAAGACGGACGGACGGACGGACCGACAAACCCAAATTAATATCCCCCACTTTTCAAGCGGGGGACAATAATATGGGAGGAATGGTTTCAAAAGACATGGATTATTTAGCAAAGGATATTTGGCAGTGGTGTTGTACAAGGAATATATGGATAACTTGTCAGTATCTCCCTGGAAAATTAAATGAGGTAGCAGATTATTATTCTAGGGAAACTACTACATCAGGTGAATGGAGTCTAAAATCAGAAATTTTTGATAGAATTACAAAACAGTTTTTTAGTCCAGATGTAGATCTTTTTGCATCAGGTAACAATTTTAAAATTCAAAGGTATGTTTCTTGGTCTTTTAGTCCAAATGCATGGAAAGTTGATGCCTTTTCTTTTCTGTGGACAGAATTAATACCTTATATATTTCCACCTTTTCATCTGTTAGGAAGGGTTTTCAATAAGATCAAGGAAGATAGGGTAGATAGAGCTATTGTGGTTTTTCCTGTATGGCGATCTCAAACTTGGTTTCCCCTTTTACTATCAATGATTGTTTCAATTCCAGTTAGACTGCCAAGACATACAGATCTTCTGACCGATGGAAACAGAAACCACCCCATGAACAAGAAAATCTTAGCCGCCGCAGTTTTCTCTGGAAAGCCTTGGAGGATAAAGAATTTCCAAAGGACATTAGACTCATCATCTTGTCCTCATGGAGAGGATCGACCCAAAAACAATACGACCTTGCATGGCGAAAATTCATTTTTTGGTGTAATAAACGAAACAAAAATGTATATGAAATTTCTGACAAGGATCTGATGTCTTACTTGTTTTCATTATTTAAAGAAGGGAAATCTTACTCTTGTGTCAATACTCATAAAGTAGCTGTAACTCAGACTTTATCTTTATTAGATCAAAAATGGAATAAAAATTCAACATTACTATCAAAATTTATGAAAGGGTTGTTTAATTTAAGACCAAATTTGCCAAAATATGAATTTACAGGGATGTGACTAAAGTTCTTACATATTTAAAGTCTCTTTTTCCTTTGGATTCATTAGATATTAAACATCTTACTTGGAAGATATGTACACTTTTAGCTTTAACAACAGCAGCTAGGGCACAAACTCTTGTTAACTTGAGTATTAAGAATATGAAGTTAAGTCCAGAGAGAGTTATTTTTTATTTTACGTCATTACTTAAGACTTCTAGACCAGGAAGGTCATTTTCTATCACCCTTGATAGATACAAGGATGAAAAACTTTGTGTTGTGTGTACGCTACGGGAATATATTAAAAGAACAAGTGACTTTCGCAAGTGTGATCAACTTCTTGTATCATTTAAGACATTCGATCAAGTTTCCACAAGCACTATAGCTAGATGGATTAAGTGCGTAATGGAAAGTGCTGGAATAGACATTAAGACTTTCAAGGCGCATTCAATTCGTTCAGCATCTTCTTCTGCAGCTCTGAAAAGTGGTGTTTCCTTAGCAAATATTCTGAAGACTGGAGACTGGTCCTCATCGAAGAACTTCAAAAAATTTTATTTTAGAGACATTCAGAATAATGATTCCAATTCTTATATGGATGGTGTGTTAAACTGTGATTGATGTTTTTTCCAAATAAATGTTTTGATTTAATTTATTGTCAATTCTTTAAACATGCTATTGATACTCTGAAAGCCGAAGGCTGTATGAAAAGAATGGGCCCCTCATCCAAGCATACCCTGGATGTGATGGATGAGGGACATTCTTGGAGTACAGCCTGAGGCTGAAGAGTATCAACTTTCCCACCCATGTGATAATACATGGAATAATACATCACTTATTTATTCCTGCCTCTTTATTATTGCATACATTGACAATAAATTTGCTTTAAATTATGAGTGATTCAAGCATGGCGGTCGGTATTTATACTGGTGATGTCACATGGGTTTTAATTTCTTTGAATAGCGAGCCCGCATGTTATTAGTCAAGAAATATGCTATTGATACTCTTCAGCCTCAGGCTGTACTCAAAGAATGTCCCTCATCCATCACATCCAGGGTATGCTTGGATGAGAGGCCCATTTTCATCATTGTTCAGTAAAGCTCGGTTATAACCAAGTTGCTGGGACCTCTGAAATTACTTCGCTATATCCGTAATTCATTATATCCATATAAATTTATAAGCTAGGGATTCAAGATAACTTCACTATATTCGTGAATTCGCAATATCCGTATTTGTACTGAACGAGTTTTACTGTACAGGGTTTTAAAATGTCATTGACCTCCTTGATACTCATTACATATTTTACAACATTTATTATTGATTCTTTTGAAGTGTAAATAGGCTTGACTTTACCATGATGAGCAATGAAAACTTAGTCAGCCCCCTTAATTTCCAAAGCATTATATTCAAAGTTTAACCTATGACCCTTACAATGCTTACCTTGGCAAACATTGTGCTGAGTAATGGCGAATTTACTGATACTGGAGCCATGCAGAATTGATATCGGACTCGCAATGGCAGATCAATATGGTCAATTGTACATGCTAGTTCCTTAAAGCTCTGCATACCACAAAGGAAATACATGTCCATGTTCACTGTTGTCATATGTGCAAAAATATTCTGAAAAAAAATAAAATGAAAATAAGAAATATATTCTTAATATGTAAAAATGCAAATTTTTAAGATACCAAGAATAACAGTTACCAGAAATATGTCTTTAGAAGTAGTGTTTTGAATGTATTTTAGAAAAATTTCTATTTTTAGTAACCATGGTACCATCAAATCAGATTTAACATCAGATTTATACAAAAATTAATCCCACCATATGGCATGCCATAACAAAGTATATGTGCTAAAATTGCAAGCATCCGCAATAAGTAGTTGCTGAGAAAACTGCTCGAAAATTTGTTTTGTATGGTATGGACAGATTTTCAGATACTAGTAAATAAGACATCAGATGCATACAGCAAGATGCTTAATTGACAAAGATTGATGATTCTAAGCCATTAAAGACCTGAAATATTTAAATATAGCCATAAAATTTTTAAAATAAGGTCACCGTGACCTTCTTAGTGTTTGACATTCTCTCCAAGGACCTAAGATACATCAATTGACAAAGATTGTAGATTCTAAGCAATTAGGACCTGAAATAATTCAAAATACCCATAAAATTTCAAAAGTAGCTTACTGTGACCTACTTTTTCGTTGACATTATCTGAGACTCAAGATGCATCAATTGACAATGTTTGATGATTTTGAACTTTTAAGTACCTGAGATATTTTAATACGTACATGCAGCCTTAAAATTTCAAAAGAAGGTCACCATGACCTACGTTTTGGTTGACATTTTCTGAAGAATTGAGAAATGTGTCAACTGACAAAATTTGATGATTCTAACATAATATATTTAAATATAGCCATAAAATTTCAGTAGGTCACTGTGACCTATGTTTTGGTTGATATTGTTAGAGGACCCAAGACGGATCAACTGACAAAGTCTGATGATCATTGGTGTTAAAATATCCAAGATATCCCTTTAAACAATTTAAAAACAAATGTCTGCAAAATTTAAAAAGTAGGTCACTGCGACCCACTTTCAATAAATATGTTTTAAGGCCCCAAGATGCATAATCTTGCAAGGTTTTATGATTCTAAACCTCTCAATATCTGAAATAATGGCCTTAAATGTTTAAGACAAGAGGCTCATGGGCCTTAAAGGTCACCTCAGCATCATGCAACAACTTTCCAACAATTGAATTTGGTTCATGTTCTAAACTAGATGTCATGGCATTCACAATTTTGATAGAGGCACCATTGCTTATCATAACTATACACTTACAATGCTTACTTTGGTTACTTAATACCCATAGATAAAGTAGTGGAACAAAAAATGCATTTCGACTAATCAGTAATATTCAGCAAAAATCAGTAGTGCCACTACCACATATGAGCCCCTGACCCTTGGTCCACATATTTCACAATTTTGGAAAAGGCACCCTTGCTTATCAAAAATGTTTGATTAATACCAAGGCAGATTTCAATCAATTTATTCATTTCCAGTATATAAGTAGAGCCCCCCCACCCATGGTACCCCTGAGCCAGGGGCCTTGAAATTCACACTTCAGAAAGAATGGCCCTTGCTCATAAACTATATATGTAGTCCATCTGCTTAATGCCCAGGAGCAGAGAAGAAAATTTTCAAAGATTTAATGTATTTTCACTATATAATCAATACAGCCCCACCCAAACACAAACACCAGAACCCCTGACTCTGGGGCCATAAAATTCACAATTTTGGAAGAGGCACTCTTGCGCATCAGAACTATATACTAGTAAGTATGTTTAATACCCAGGTACAGAGAAGAAGATTTTCATAGAAATTCTGCATTTTCTTTATAAAATCAAAAGAGCCCCACCCTAACACCACAACCACTGACCCCGGGGCCATAAAATTCACAATTTTGGAAGAGGCATTCTTGCTCATCATAACTATGTACTTACTTAGTTTATTTGATACCCAGGAGCAGAGAAGAAGATTTTCAAAGAATTTCTGCATTTTCTCTATATAATCATTAGAGCCCCGCCCTAACAGCAGAACCATTGGCCCTTGGGCCATAAAATTCACAATTTTGGAAGGAGCATTCTTGCTCATCATAACTTTATATTTAGTTAGTTTGTTTAGTACCCAGGAGCAGAGAAGAAAATTTTCAAAGAATTAATTTACTTTCACTATATAATCATTAGAGCCCCCCCCCCCCACCTCCCTAACACCAGAACCCCTGACCCTTGGGCCATAAAATTCACAATTTTGGAAGAGGAATACTTGTTAATCATGACTTTATACTTAGTTAGTTTGTTTAATACCCAGGAGCAGAGAAGAAGATTTTCAATGAATTTCTACATTTTCTCTGTATAATCATTTAATTTCTATAAAATACTTGATTCTGATTGGATAAAAAATTCTTTTGATAACTGCATCAATAAAATCTAGAGTTCGCTTGCACTAAGCAGCCGGAACTACTTTGGTAGTCTTTACATGTATATTCCTGCTTCCAAAGTTACTTTTTTTAAGGAATAATTAAATACTTTTACTTTAAAAAATAAATTTTTTCCTGAATTTCGGAACCTGTCCGTTACCTTCCTGACTTTGAATTATCCCCCTTTGCTAAACAAATCAAATTTTTTTCTTTGATCGAAGTATCAAAGAAAAAATTTGGACGGAAAACTTTTTCATCAATGCGTGTAAGCGCATTGATGAAGTTTTCCGTCCCAATTTTTTCTTTGATACCTTGATCGAGGTATCAAAGAAAAAATTGGGATGGAAAACTTTTTCATCAATGCGTGTAGTGCATTGATGAAGTTTTCTGTCCAAATTTTTTCTTTGATACCTTGATCAAAGAAAAAAATATTACATTCATTTCTTAAATTAACAGAGCCCTGCCCTAACACCAGAACCCCTGACGCTGGGGCCATAAAATTCATAATTATGGAAGAGACATTCTTCCTCATCATAACTAAGTACTTAGTTAGTTTATTCAATACCCAGGAGCAGAGAAGAAGATTTTTAAAGAAATAATGCATTTTCACTATATAATCAATAGAACCCCACCCTAGCACTAGAACCCCTGATCCTGGGGCCATGAATTTCACAATTTTGGTAGAGAACTCAATGGTCATTACACTTATGCTAACAGTTTGACTGTTTGATGTCCACGAGTAAAAAAGATTTTTAAAGATTGCATTAATTTTAGTGGTTTTGGCCCCACCTCTCAGGCCCCAGGGGGTCAGGGACCATGAAATTCACAATTTTTGTTCCCCTTCACCCATAGATGCTTTATGCCAAATTTGGTGGGAATTGGTTGAGTGGTTGAAGAGAAGAAGCTAAAAATGTTAAAATGTTAACACGACGCACACCGCACGACGACGGATGAAAACAGATAGCAATAGGTCACCTGAGTTTACTCAGGTGACCTAAAAAGATAAGCCATATAATTCAACAAGAGACCCAGGGGTCAAATCGCTCACCAGAGCAACTGGCAAGGTAAAAGCAAAAATTAATTCAGTTTTGAGAAGTTTTAATATAAAGTGGGCTCATGGGAGGAAGGGGGGGGGGGGGGTATTTGAACAAACTTAAATCTATACTTCCTATGGATGCTTTTAAAGCAATATAACACATAGAGGCTTTGCTGTTTATAAGATGAAAATTTTTATTGATATAGCCTTTATATAACTTTTATATTTCCTATAAACTATCATCCACTTTGATAGCTTCTCTATTCTCCTGGATGGTCATAATTTGAACAAATTTAAATCTACATTTAATACCTATTTTGATTCTTTTATATTGATGATCAAGTATGGCTTTGTTGTTCTTGTGAAGAATTTTAACGATTTTTCCTAATTATTCCCATGTAAAAGCTTAATCACTTAATTTGGCCCCACTCTACCCCAAGGGTCATTTGAACAAACTTGAATCTACGCTACCACAGGATGCCTCCATATAAATATGAACAATCACAGCTTTGCTGTTCTCAAAAAGAAGAATTTTCAAGATTTTTTCCTGTGAAATCCTTCTTAAAACTTTGATCACCCATAATGACCCCACCCTTGCCCCAGGGGAAATGATTTGAACAGACCCCACCCTTGCCCCAGGGGAAATGATTTGAACAAACTTGAATCTACACTACCAGAGGATGCTTCCATATAACTATGACCAATCATGGCTTTGCTGTTTTTGAGAAGAAGATTTTTCCTATGTATTCCTTTGTTAAACCTGCCCAGCTTAGGTCCCATCCTACCCCCCAAGGGTCATGATTTGAACAAATTTAAAACTACACTACCAGAGGATGCTTCCACATGAGTTTAATCTTTACTGGCCCAGTGGTTCTCGAGAAGAAGATTTTTAAAGATTTTTCCTATGTATTCCTACATTAAACTTTGATACCCCATTGTGGTCCCACCCAAACTTGAATCTACACTACCTGAGGATGCTTTCACATGAGTATCATCTTCCTGGCCCAGTGGTTCTTTAGAAGATTTTAAAAGAATTTTTCCTATGCATTCCTATGTTAAATTTTGATTCCCTATTGTGACCCAGGGGGCCATGATTTGAACAAACCTAAATCTATGCTACCAGAGATTGCTTCCACATGAGTTTCTTATTTCCTAGCCCAGTGGTTCTTGATAAGAAGATTTTTAAAAGACACCACTTATTTTTCACTAATTCATAATTCCCTTGGAAGAGGCCCTGGCCCTTCATTTGAACAATACTGAATCCCTTTTACCAAAGGATGGCCAAGGGGTTCTCGAGAAGAAGATGAAAATGTGAAAAGTTGACGACGATGACAACGACGATGATGCCAATGAAAATTTCAACGAAAATGTCAACAGACAAATTTTGATCAAAGAAGCTCACTTGAGCCTTTGGCTAAGGTGAGCTAAAAACAGGTCAAGGTGATCTACTTTTAAGTTAAGGACATATGCAAGGTATCATACCTACTGATAATTTTTCAAGATATTATAAATTTAAACTTATAATACCATTATATGTTCCTAGACAAAAAATCAGCATGCGTTACCAGGGGTTTTGAAAAGATCATATGAAATTACGAAAATTTTTGCATTATTCAAAGAAAAATGTACAAAAATTACAAAACATAAATTAAAGATTTTTTTTCATCAAAAATTGTTTTAGAAGAGGTGTACAAATCCATATATAGACATTAAAAGTATTGCACACAGGTCCTTCATTTAGTGGAACTCTTCAACTCCAGGGAAGAATCCAATAAAGTTCAAACTATGTTGCGTATGACCTTAATGTTGTTCTAGGACTAAGGATGCATCAACTGACAAACTTTTAAATTAATGATCATAGGCCTTAAAGTGTCCAATATATGCCTCCATATCAATTTGAAAATGAATGCACGCAAAATTCAACCAGAAGTCTCTATTGAGACTGTAGCTCAAGAGGTCTATACTTATAATGAAGAAAGAGAAAAGTAGCTGTTGGGACCTGAAACTTTACAACAGTGATAAATAGAAGAATGATCCTTGATAAAGTCTCTTTTTGTGGCAAAATTGCAATAAGACTACAACTGTAAAAGTAGCTTTTAATAAAATTTAACAGAATTTTCAATTTTAGTCACCATAGCAACATCACTCATCAAAATAAAAACAAGAGGCCCAGGGGCCACAGCAAGCCAAATTATATTGAGCACATCGGGCTTGAATTTAACCCCCCCACCCCCCAGGCGTTCATCATTTGAACAAACTAGAATCTACACTACCTGAGGATGATTCCATATAAATATCACTAATCATAGCTTTGAAGTACTTGAAAAGAAGATTTTAAAAGGTTTCTCTACATATCCCTATGTAAAACTTGGGTCGGCCATTTTGGCCCCATCCTTGCCCCAAGGGTCATGATTTGAACAAATTTGAATCTACACTACCTGAGGATGATTCCACATGAGTTTCATCTTTCTTGGCCCAGTGGATTAGCCATTTAAAGTTTTAGAGAAGAAGATTTTTAAAGATTTTTCTTATATATTCCTATGTAAAACTAGATTATGACAAGAAACAAGGCCATTTTGGCCCCACCCTTGCCGCCGGCGGTCATGATTTGAACAAACTTGAATCTACACTACCTGAGGATGATTCCACATGAGTTTCATTTTTCCTGGCCCAGTGGTTCTGGAGAAGAAGATTTTTAAAGATTTTTCTTATATATTCCTATGTAAAACTAGGGTCGGCCATTTTGGCCCCACCCTTGCCCCGGGGGTCATGATTTGAACAAACATGAATCTACACTACCTGAGGATGATCCCACATGAGTTTCATCTTTCCTGGCCCAGCGGTTCTGGAGAAGAAGATTTTTTAAAAATGCCATTAATTTTTAATAAATTCATAATTATCTCCCCTTTGAAAAGGGCGTGGCCCTTCATATTGAACAAACTTATTTAGAATCCCCTTCACCCAAGGATACTTTGTACCAAGTTTGGTTGAAATTGGCCCAGTGGTTCTTGAGAAGAAGATGAAAATGTGAAAAGTTTACGACGACAACGACAACAACAACGACAACGACAACGACGACAGACAACGGACAAATTTTGATCAGAAAAGCTCACTTGAGCCTTCGGCTCAGGTGAGCTAAAAACAACAAAGACAATATTATATCTCAGTTTTAAGTCCACTTGCAAGCCAAATTATATTGAAATCAGACTAAAACTGTGGGAGAAGTAGGATTTTCAAAGTATTTCACAAAAATTTCTAAAATTAAAAACTGATATACTGAATTATGTATCTTCGTGTATTCTACTTGTGTGCCAAGTTATATTGAAATCAGACCAAAACTGTAGGAGGAATGGCATTTTGAAAGTATTTTACAGAAATTTCTATTTTTAGTAACCAATGCAACAATGTTCAGCAAAATCCAAAAATGGACACACAGAATTATGTATCTTAGTGTAGTCTACTTGTGTGCCAAGTTATATTTAAATCAGATCAAAACTGTTAAAGAAGTAGCATTTTGAAAAACTGTTTACAGACAGATAGACAGACGACAGACACATTACTATAGCAGAAGCTCTTCATGTATGATGTCCTAAGATGCATCAACTTACAAGTTTTGATGATCCTAGTCTCTATAGTGAGCAAACTATCAATGTTTTTATAAAGTGTATTTTTTGGTAAAATATTGAAGTGACCTTGAGACCACTCCTTCTGCCCCAGGGATATGCCTTGATCAAACTTTAATTTTCAACTTATCTCCATCATTGTATGTAAGTTTGGTGATAATCTGCCTGGTGATTCTTGAGAAGATTTTAGCAACCTGTACTTTTGACCTTATTTACCTGATTTTCTCCCCTTGTTTAAGGGTCACAAACTTAGTTTTAGTTGAAATAGGAGCCCTTGGGCCAAGGATACCATGTGACAAATTTGACCATGATTGCCCTAGGGGTTCTTGAGTTATGACCCATATTCTAAAAAAGTTTACCCACACCACACAAATGGCAATAGCATTAGCTCTTTGAGCCTTTGGCTCAGAAGAGCTAACAAGAGGCCTATGGGCCAGGGGCTCACCTGAGTAACTTTGGCCATGCTATTCTTTACCAGATTTCCCCTTTGTAATACATATTTTAATTTGGAGAATGTAAAATCTACACTTCCCCAGAATGCTTCCACATAAGTTTCAGCTTTCCTGGCCCAGTGGTTCTTCAAAAGAAAATTTTTCCTATATACAGGTAAATATCAGTATCTCGAACATGGGATATCTCGAATACCCCGCTTATGTCGAAGTCGATCGCCGGTCCCGGCCGTTTTCTCTCTTTATATGATTTAAAAAACACCTGATATCTCGAACACGGTAATCTCGAATACCCCGCTTATGTCGAAGTATATTCAAAGTCCCAAGCCCTTTTTTACCTGGCTTATCTCGAAGTGCTTTGAATTTTTTGGTCTACTGAACACACCTGGCGTCGTGACTTCACACACTCTCGCCAGTGGCTATTAATTAACACCTTCAAACTTGGGGAATCTTAATTAATCCCAAGCTCATGTTGATGTCGGTATCTGTGACAGGTTAATTGGTTTGACAGCTTGGGTGTTTGATGTAGTGTACGACCGATAAAACAAACCACTTCACAGCAACTCAGAAATTAAATTACCGATATTGCATTTAATAATATGCTCTGTATAATTAAATTCCTAAATTCATAAAACAAATATATATTTCACAATAAACTTAAACAGTTAAGTTGTAGTGCATAATGCACAGTGATTGATTACATTCATGTTTATCTGCATATAAATAGATAATCTTGACCGCCATTTGCATTGTTAGTTTCGTAAACTATGTGTTCCTTAGTAGTACTTCGTAATGTTATACATGTAAGCTATTAATATCAAGTACACAGTTTGAATACTGATTATTTTCTTAAAAACATTTTGCACTAAATTTCATCAAATTATGTTTTTAAAAATTCGTCTTTTCCTTTCCTTATGGAGAAGGTTCTTCAACTATAACGCTAATGATACATCCCGTTTGACCACGTAAGCATGGCCTGGAAAATGTAAATTCGCTGAATATGCAATAAGGCAAAGAAAACAACAGCATTGTTTTTCTTAATATTTATTGCGAATATGTCTGAGACTTTACCATAAAGACTGCATGTTTTGTAATACAGGATAGTGTTACACATGAAGATATACGAAAAAACGGGACATCGTTGATTCGACTTTGGAAGATAACTTCGGATATCTCGAACCCCCGGATATCTCGAAGTCATGTCCAGGTCCCCTTAACTTCGAGATACTGATATTTCACTGTATTTCATTGTTAAACTTTGATTCCCTATTATGGCCCCGCCCTACCACCGGGGTCCATGATTTTAATTTAATTTCTTATTACCCAAGGAGCCTTCCACATAATCAAATTTATAAAGCCTAATGTGCACTATCTATAACATGCCTTGGAAACTAAGTATGCATATGAAAACGAATTAAAGATTTCTCTCAGTGTATAAAAAGTGCATGTATACCTCTATTGCATTTTAATAAGAATGCCTATACCAAGCCTTAAATCATTTTGGACTGATAGCCTGACTGAAAACTGGAGGTCTGTCTGAGTACTACTGATAGTCTGTCTGAGAACTGGTGTTCTGAGTACTGATGGTCTGTCTGAGAACTGGTGTTCTGAGTACTGATGATCTGTCTGAGTACTGGTGTTCTGAGTACTGATAGTCTGTATTCTCCTTCTCAGCTTACTTCTGAGTAAGTGTTTTAAAGTGAAACAGATTATCAAAGTGAACTTACCAGAATATCTGGAAGCTTAAAGCTTGGGAGATAGAAATAGAACTGTTCCAGTTGTTCTACAGTTGGTAAAAGACCTGCTGCCTGAAACAATTCAGAATTTCAACATATAATCATATATTTTTTAGTCATTAGTATTTCTACCAGTTGTCAAGTTTATTATTATTTTTATTGTGAACACCTTTATATAATGCCTTTCATGTTTTGAGATTTTAATTTTCTTTGTTGCAATCTAAAGGTATTTTTTATTTATCAGACTTCATATGCTGATACAGTACTGTAGATATTCAGTTAAATATCTTTAGAGCGAATTAAATTGATAGTGTGTTATAAAAAATCAATCATTTAAAATGTAATTAATTCATTTTTTTCTACTTTTAATACATGATTATATAAGGTCTATAATCTATAATTAGAGAAGGAAAATTCCTTCCTTCATCGTAACTAAATATATACAAAAGGCCCATGGGCCACATCGCTCACCTGAGCACCATACATGCCAACTTTTGAAAATTCCCATGGGGGATTTAGCGCATGACGACAATTTTCAAAGCTTTTAAATTCGCGACATTTTGTCGTGAAATTAAATGATTATGAAATGATCTTTTTTTAAATTTATAATATTGATATTACTTATCAATACAACTTAAAAATTAATTTAACACAAAAAATAATGTTTTTCTTTCCAAAGTTATAATATTGATATTACTTATCAATACAACTTAAAAATTAATTTAACACAAAAAATAATGTTTTTCTTTCCAAAGTTATAATATTGATATTACTTATCAATACAACTTAAAAATTAATTTAACACAAAAAATAATGTTTTTCTTTCCAAAGTTGAAATATTTCTGCTAAAATAGGTGCCTCTTTCACTTAAGAATGGGTATTTAGTTACATATGTAAACAACATTTTTTTCTACCAGAACACATAATTTAGTGAAAAATTGTAAATTTTACAACTTTTAAATCATTTTTTCAAAGGCTAACAAATATGAGGTTTTGATACTGTAAAGTCCTGTTTCTGGAAACATTTTTGAGATTTTTTATAAATATTAGAAATTCTAATTATGTTCCCCAAACGAAGTTGGGGAACATATTGTTTTTACTCTGTTTCTTCTTCTTCTTCTTATTAAGGTCTTCCGTCTTCACGGAAGACCTTATAGTTATTCTACTGTTTCTTATTATTATTATTATTTTTTTTCCCAAAATTTTGTGCACGCGATTTCTCAGCAACTGTTCAGCGGATTTTTATGAAATTTTCAGGAATTATGCGCATTAAGATGAACTTGATACATTTTTAAGGAAATTTGGAAATTCGCTTCTGGTGCCAAGTTATGGGTAATTTCCTGATTTTAAAATGCAATTTTGTCGCCCCTTTTTATCGTAAATGGCTAAAGATATGACCTGGAGACTTACTGGAGACGATAGTTCGTGACTTTGTGGTTTGCAGAATCATCTTTTTGTGCGTCGTCAGTTCTTCCGGTCGTTACGAGACGCAAATTTAAAAAAATTGTATTTTCTAACTTTTTTGTTTTTCAATATTTCTCATTTATTTTTGGTATATTAATAGAAACCCTCCCTATAATGCTTACTATATAATTTGTTTGAATGTTGATAAATCTAAACTCTAGATATTAGCATTCAAAAATCTGAAGCGGGTCCAAAATGGCGGCTTTCACAGTCAACGTCGACATTTCGCAATAGGGGTTTTAGGAGGCAGCCGAGCGTTTGCTTGAATGAAAGTAACAAAAGGATAAATGAAATGTAAAGGAATACTTGGATTGTCACGTCGTAGTTACGTTGCAGTTCTGTGTCAAGCTAACGTCTTCTATAATTGGTTTTGGCTGGTTTTCAAAATAAAAAAAGAAAAGACTAAATGTGCAGATGAAATTCGATACCTAATATCTTTTGTGCACCACGGAAAAACAGATCTTCAATCGTACTTATAAGTTATACTGTCTCAAAAAAGAATATCAATGAATATTGTAAGTATAAATCTTAACCACTGTTTTCCTATGCACACTTGTGTCACATTAAACTAATGAATAAGACAAAAATAAGAAAACGATTTTTTAAAAGATCGCTTCATGGAGTTTATTCAAGCATTCTTGTCTCAAAGACCTGATTCAAGTTATTGAGCATAAATGATATCTGATTCCTTGACTGTCGTAGGGCGAGCCAGATTTTTCGGCGAAACGTTTCAACCTATTTTGATTAACTAATCAGGATAGTTCACTTTGGGGATAAACAGGAAATTGAAAAAAGTTTAAAATTCATAACCGTTTCAGCGCTTTAGTGTTACATGCATATATAAAACAATATGGAATTTGTAAAATGTGTTAAATATACTTTCTAAACCTCGAATGTTAAGCTATAAGAACGTTCTTTTTTTTTAACTCGTGGCGTTTGGCGCTATATTTTGAATAGTGACCCGCCTTTCTTTTTAAGAGAGAAGCACTGTTTTGTTGATATATACAAGTAGATTTAGAGTAGAGGTCCCGATAGCGTAATATTTAGTGTGTTGGAATTTCATGCTGGCGACTAATGTGTTCAATCCCTCTTGTGGGCAAATCTTTTTTTACTTTTTCAGCTCGATTTTAAGTTTTCTTTCCGGAAAGGGACGGAAGACCTCTCGTTGCTCGCAACGAGTTTCACATCTAGTTATTATTATTTTTCTTCTTCCTGGGAAAATCTTTTCCGCGAATGATCTTGTAAACTACACGTCCGACTTAGGTGAAACCTTTTTAGGGTCAGTAGGCATGTTATGTAGATTTGCCGAACAAAGGTCATTTTCCGCGCACGTGCTTGCAAGACCGCGCACGTGCAACGCGTGAAATGACCAAAAAAAATAGATACAGCCGTAACTTTTCTATTTTTTGATTATATGCTTTCATACTCATAATATAAGTATATATTAGTAGTATAGACGTGTTGACATGGTCAAAATAGCAAGATCTCACGCACATGCACGTGCGCTTCGCTCTGATTGGCTGAAACTAAAGTCTCAATATCTTTCTTGTTTTTCGTCATAATCATTTGAAATTTTGAACTTAGTCACACATTATGAAGATCTACAGCATGATATATAATAATTTTCATGAAAGCACGTACATGCGCGTGTGCTGGCAAGAGCGCGCACGTGCAACATGTGAAATTACCAAGATAATGGATGAAGCCGTAACTTCTATATTTCTTAATGGAATTTTTTGAAACTCACAATGCATGAATAAAGTAGTAGTATGGACAAGATGACATGGTCAAAATTGCAAGATCTTACGCGCATGCACGTGCGCTTTGCTCTGATTGGCTGAAACTAAAATCTCAATATCTTTCTTGTTTTACGTCATAATCCTCTGAAATTTTGAACTTAGTCACATATTATGAAGATCTACAGCATGATATATAAGAATTATCATGAAAGCACGTAAATCCACGTGTGCTGCAATCTGATTGGCTGAAACTTTACATGCCTATATCTTTCTCGTTTCTCAACAAAACAGGATGAAGTTTAGAATATGAATAGCTATTATGGATTCCTACATGATATTGCTATCAAAATTGAATGCAAGGACGTGCTTGCATGCACATGCGCACACGCAATGCGTAAAATGAACAATATGTTTGAAAAACGGTAACATTTATATTTTTATGACTTTTTATTGATTTCTGAAATATAAAGATATGTTAATGGTTTAGACAACATGTCATGATCACTTTGCATGTGCATGCACGTGCGTTTGCGAACAATGCATTAAATGACAAAAAGTTAATATCATTGTTATGGAATCCGGATAGGGCCACGCACTTCACTATCGCACCATCGATAATCAACTTAAAGGTCGATGGCGCGATAATGCGATGGCGCGATAACGATGAAACGGTGGTGCGATAACGATGAAGCGATGATGCGATAGCACGATGACGATGATGCTATGGCGCGATAATGCAATGGCGATGCTGCGATAGCACGATTGAGCGATAGTGAATATCGCTTCATCGTCATCGTACTATCGCACCATCGTCATCGCATCATCGTGTCATCACTATCGCACCATTGCGTCATCGTACCATCGCGTCATCGCATTATCGCACCATCGCCATCGCATTGTCGCACCATAGCATCATCGTCATCGCGCTATCGCACCATCACTTCATCGCTATCGCACCATCGCCTCATCGTCATGGCATTATCTCTTCATCGCACTATCGACCTAAATCTCGATGGTGCGATGATGCGATAGTGAGCTGCGTGGCCCTATCCGGATTCCATACATTGTAGTTTCTAAAATTCTTTTATGAAATCCTGCGATACTAAGCATATTGAAAAAAGTTTTAAAGGAAATTTGCACAAAAAGGGAGTTGGGGAGCGTTTGGGGAACATCTGTAACGGTCCCCGTTACAATTAGAACTAGTTAGATATTAAATTTACAGAAATTTATACCACCTATCTTAAAGAAAATTATTTTTTTTACAGTCATGAAATTTGTCAGGCTTGATGGTGCCTTATGGGTATTTCCTTAAGTCATGCATATTACTTTTGGGAGAAGGGAGGGAAAAGAAATTCTAATTGAAATACACTTGATTGTTTCATCTTAATTTTTTCATAATATTTTTATTGGCATCTTAGAAATATTTTTTATTATAGGTAGATAAAATCATCAGCTATGCTTTGTAGTTTTCTACTTTCGTTTTCAAAAAACGATCTCTTTGGATAAACCGATTTTATGGTTTAATTAGTATTTTATTGTCTTTAATTTATGTTTTTAATAAAATGACTAACAGTTATCACGTTAATCTATGTGTTTCACCTTGCATACCCCTTAAAACTGACAAGATAATACCCTAATTGCCCAAGCTATAAGCTACTCGTACCTGGACAACTGCGTGCGTTCATGCGTAAAGTGATTTCCTGTGGCTAATTAGTAATGAACACCTGGTTAAATAAACAGTGAAACTTATCTGTGGCATTGAATATACAAGTCTGACATTGTTATCCCGATTGTCAAAATTCAGCGGTAGAGAAACTTTTAAAATTTGAAATTTTAAAGTGATTTTTTTTCCAAATCGGGAAATTAGGTAAATTTTTCTCTCCTGATCGGGAAGGTGGGATGAAAGGGTAAAATCGGGAGGATCCCGCCTAACACACACAGTTGGCATGTATGGAGCACTAAGGGTAGGAAAAAGTAGAAAATGGCTTTTTATTGTAAAGTTTAAATCCAAAAGTAGTCCCATGACCAATCATGGATTTGCTATTTTTTAGAAAATGATTTTTAAAGAATTTTCCTATATATATCTTTAAAAACTTTGGTCGGCCATTTTGGCCCCGCCTTACCCCTGGGGGTCATGATTTGAACAAATTTGAATCTACACTTCTTACAATCATGCCAACAGTTTGACTGCTTGATGTCATGCATTAATTTTGGTGGTTTTAGCCCCGTCCCCCAGGCCCCATGAAGGCAAGGGACCATGAAATTCATAAATTTTGTTCCCCTTCATCCATAGATGCTGTATACCAAATTTAATTGAAATTGGATCTGTGGTTGCAGAGAAGAAGCTCTAAAAATGTTCAAAAGTTTATGACCGACGTATGATGAAGGACAAAAACAGATAGCAATAGGTCACCTGAGTGACTCAGGTGACCTAATAAAAACTTTAATGCGATGTTCACATGGAGAGTTTAGTTTGCAGTAAATTAATGAGAAGTGAACTAATGCGAAGTAAAATAATGTGAATTAAATTGAGTTCACACGACAGCTAAAGCAAATTTAACTTATGTGAATTAAAATTTTATTTCTACAATACGGCTATTCAGTACAGCTATTATGACATCATCTGTAATTCACATCATGTGTTTCTAAGCAGATCCATCTGACAAAATAATCATAGTGATTACATACAATTTAGTGAATAACATAATTTTCCTTTATTTTTCAACCAAAAATAGCACAGATACCTAAATCTAACTACTGACATGTGGCCTATGACTTAATTTTGGCCTTAAGCATGCATCAAAATTTTTCAAATTAGCTTCGCTCTGCACTCAAATGGAGCTAATGTTAAGTAATTTAATGTGCAGTTACTTAATTTGAATGAAACTTATTTGCATTAAATTCTCCGTGTGAACGCTGTTCAAATTTAATTCGCAGTAACTTACGTTTAATTCAAATTAATCTCTCCATGTAAACAGAGCATAACAAATAGGTATCGTTTTCATGCCCCTTACTTTGATGTCTTCCACATCCTCTTTGATAATTGTTTTGATTTGCTCCAATGTCTTCTCACCATATGCTGTAACTAACCCCACCTCCTGTCCACTTCTATATCGCCCTGCACGTCCAGCTATCTGCTTTGCTTGTGGTGTGCTGATTCTTGACATAATTAATTCGCCATGCTCATTTCTATTCAACTTTTCAGCTTGGAGGAAAATCATTCTTCTGATTTTCCTGGAAAAAAAAACATTAACTTGATTTTAAACAGCTATTCTATAAAAGTCCATTATCTGTTATTTTCTGTGAATTCTCTTTCCTGATCAAGTCTTCAATTATATAAATTGTGTGTCAGAACACCCTACTTACAGGTTAATCCCCATTCCTATGGCATCAGTAGCCACAAGCACCTTACATGGATCTTTGGGATCATTGAACTTCTGGGCTTGGGCTAATTTGGTGGCTATCAAGATCAGACAAATTATTTATCAAAGTCATGTTGCACAATATCATTAATTCACATTAAATTTTTTTCAGTTCTTACAAGAAAAAGATTTGTAAATGTTTTTTCTTTGTTAATATTTCAATGTCAAACTTTGATTTTCTATTGTTACCCTTATACCTTTCCACCAGGGACCATGATATGAACAATTTAGAATGTTTACTACCTTGGGAATCTTCCGCTAGTCATAAAGTTCAGGGCCGGGTTTCACAAAATTATCGTAAGATTTGTCCTAAGATAGATCTTACGATCATCTTAAGATATGACTTATGACAATCATAAGATTTGTCACTGCTGTTTCACAAAACTATCTTAAGTATAAGAAATCTTAAGACAAATCTTAAGACGAATTTCATTCTTTAATTTCACAGGGATTTTTTGTTAAATATATGTATGCAAGAAGTTTAAATGCCTTTCCTTAATTTTGCAGATAAACCCTAGGAAAAAAAGACAAACATTTTATTGCATCAACTTCAATGTAATCAGGGTGTGTTTGTGTATGTCGGGGGTCGGGTCAAAAAATTAAATTTGAATTAATTTCATCACATAAAAAAATAATTGAATATAATATGTTTAAATGTCTTCTTGCTCAAAAAATAGTAGTTACTGACGAAATTTATGAGATGCTTTTTTAATTAAAGCTACTAGAGTATCCGAACCTTTGCAATTAATGAATGATTATAGCAATGAATTCTCTTGAAACACCAAATCGTGTTAAAAGTTCGTTCAAAAAATTCGATGTAGGTGTCTTTAAAACACTTCAACTACTGCAACAAAATATCAATGCTAACAGATGAAGAAAAGAAACGAAAAAAAACAAACATTTTCCAATCAAAATTTTATAGTTTCAATACTATTATAAAAGAAGGAAGAAAGCATGTACATACAGCATCAAATGTTACAGCATGATTTTCATACACATTACACATTCCGGTAGATTAATGAGGGATACCCCAAGAATAAAATTATTTGATTTTATCTAATTTTGTACGACTGAATGAAATGTTTACTTTCTAATTTCTAAAAAAAAATCACCATAGTGTAACAAAATAAAGTAAAACGTCTAAAAATGAAGTGTATATATAAGTATTTTCTTTACTTTCATTGACTTAACTAATCCCTAGAAATGCATATACTTCATATTTCTGTTTACTAAAAAGATATTAATGTACCCTATCAATAAATAAACTACAAGAATCTCAAACACAGGATCTGGAATTACTTTAGTCATTTTAAAAACTGCTCATAATTGGTCATAGTTAATTGTGATATTCTTGCGGGGTATGGAATTCTACGGTGGTATATTTAGGACACGCAATAATTTTTTTTTAAATACCAGAAAAAAAATTATCTTGTGAAAACGAGAAATTATCTTGTGAAAACGAGATATTATCTTGTGAAAACGAGAAATTATCTTGTGAAAACGAGATATTATCTTGTGAAAACGAGATATTAGAGAGGTTGAGATTTTAAACGTGTACGCGTACGTGTACTTGTATATAGTTTGACGTACACGTACACGTTTTTTTAAATTTGTCTGTTGAGATTTTTATGAAAATGACATCGAATATCTTGAAAGTTTTTTGAAAAATTAAGTGCTCGTGAAAGTAAATATCCTATATAATGTATAACAATCACAATTTCACACTTAAATTGGCTAATTTTTATTATTAAAGCTACACGTTTTCACTTACGTGTAAAACGAGATATTATCACCAAAATTGATGAAATACACACAGAATATTATTCCCCTACTAGACGTACCCGTACACGTACACGTTTGAAATCTCAACCTCTCTATTATCTTGTGAAAACGACATAATATCTTGTGAAAACGGGAAATTATCTTGTGAAAACGAGATATTATCTTGTGAAAACGAGATAATATCTTGTGAAAACGAGATATTATCTTGTGAAAACGAGATATTATCTTGTGAAAACGACATAATATCTTGTGAAAACGACATAATATCTTGTGATCTTGTGAAAACGAGATATTATCTTGTGAAAACGAGATATTATCTTGTGAAAATGACACATAATATCTTGTGAAAACGAGATATTATCTTGTGAAAACGAAATCTTGTGAAAACGAGATATTATCTTGTGAAAACGAGATTATATTATGTCGTTTTCACAAGATAATTTCTCGTTTTCACAAGATAATATCTCGTTTTCACAAGTTAATATCTCGTTTTCACAAGATATTATGAACAATGAACAATGAACAATCTGAAATAAAGTTATATATGTCAGAGATACGGATTTTACATAAATGTACATACATGGCCTTAACTGAAATGAATAAAGTAGAAAAATATTTTAAGTAGTACATTTTAGGTTTCTTATCGTTTATTTATTGACAAATTACTTTCTGCGGGTCATCGTTCCGTCTGGCCTTATATAGTCCGAAGGATTGTTCTATCACTAAAGACTGTTTATCTTTAAATATCCTTAGGTTTTTAGCCAAAATATATACTGTCACCAGTTACACTTTAGACTTAAGACATGTATCTAGTTGTAGTAAGATTTTGATAGATCTTTAATATATGACAGTTTTGTGAAACAGCTATGGTGCAATCTTAAGATAATTTTCGGTCTTAAGACAGATCTTAGTCATAAGACAGCTTTGTGAAACTGGCCCCAGCTTTTCTGATCCAGTGGTTCTTGAGATCTTTATTCTATGGATTTCAATACTTTTTACCCATTAGTTTGATTGGTGTATATTGTTTTACATCCCATTCCAGAATTTTTCACTCATATAGAGAGGACACTGTATCCCAGTGAAGGGCTTCAAATTTAGATCTATACTCAGCACTCACTCAGGGTTCTTTACCATGCCAAACCCCTACTGTGACACAGGACCTACAGTTTTTAAAAGGTCATATAGAAAGTCCTGTAACTTTCACTTCTAATGCACAGCACTTGGCAAAGGAACAGTCACTACCTAGGTTTGATGTGGTGCTGTGAACGAGAATCAAACCCAGGCCTCCCCACTACAAAGCAAACATTCTACCACTATGCTACCATGATCAGTGGGACAAAATTTTTTCCAGTCATGAGCCTGACAAGATTTTTTTCACATTTAAGGTCTTCCGTCATCACGGAAGACCTTATAGTTAAGGTCTTCCATCCTAACAGAAGACCTTAGAGTGATTCTATTGTTTCTTCTTCTTATTATTATTGTTATTTTTCAGATTCAATTTCTCAAGGACTTCTGGATGGAATTACACAAAATTTTCAGAGAAGATGTATTTTAACATGAACTTGATACATCCGAGAGATTTTTTGGAAATTCCAATCTAGTGCAAAGTTACGGACCATTTTCCTGAATTTAAAATGACATTTTGTCCATGGATAATCTCCAGAACGGTAAAAGAATGCTATATCTTTGATGCTTTTTATCTCGAAAAGGGGGAATATTTTAATAAGCCATATTGAACAAAAGAAGATCAAGATATTGTGATATAAATCAACAGAAGAAATAAATTTGATGAAGGAAAACTTAATGTTATTCTTTTTTTTTGAATATCTCAGTCAAAATCACATCTCATCTTATCAAGAAATTCAACGGAAGACCTATTCGTTGCTGGCAACAAGATCTTATCTAGTTTTTTATTATTATTTTTTCTTCCAACCGATTTTGAGCATGCGATTACTCAGACTTAGCTGGTCTGATTTATATTAAACTTTCAGATGTAAAAGATATTAAATTGATCTTGAAGAGTTTTTTTGTTGTATGATGACGTCACTTCCGGTCATGAGATATGGACAATTTTCTGATTTTCAGAGGGTTGGCTTGTCCTGGAAACTTTTCCAAAACGACTTAAGATATTGACCCAAGATTTTCAGTGTGAGTAAAGAAAGGATTGCTGAGTTGTAAATGGGTGTCCAAATCTTTCTAGAGCTCAGTAGGGCCAGGAAAAATGTCTCGGAAACATCTCACAAAATTTGACCCCTTTTTTTTCATATGTTCTTATCTGTTCATAATTTGCTAAAACATGTTGAAGAAAAGTTGTAAGAATAATAAGAGCTTTCATGTGATACCAAGAAAAAGCGGTTGACCCCTCAAATTAGAGGCTTATAGGGGTCAAAATTTTTTCATCTTTAACATTTTAATGATTCAATTTTTTGTAATACATTACTGAAGCAAAGATATTCATCTTAACAATTTGCAACAATAAATTAAAAAATTTGGATCATATGTTAAGTAATTAACGTAGGTCGCGGGTTTACAGGGCTTTTAAAAGTGCTCGAAAACATACCATGAAAATTACCTATATAATTTCTCTACCTTTGATTTCCATTCTCTGAAAATTTTATAAAATTTGTCTGCACCGTTTTTGTGTAATTGAATTCAAAAGATGTCATTGTTGAAGTTACATTTTCAACGGTATTCTATTGAATTGTATAGGAAAATCGTCGTTTTTAGCTTGTTTTCAGACGAATTTGTTTATCCTTTGGTATTTAAAAATAGAATTGATTTGAAAGAAATCTATGTGAAAAAATTAATATGTCTTTGGGTTCATTTTTTCGTAATTTAATTGTAGATAATTGCTTTTATATTGAAAAATGTAGCATTTTCAAGAACAACGTCATAAAATATCGTGACGTCACGCTTGACGTCGTGAATATCGATCCGGTATACAGAGCAAAGAAAAAATTATACGGATTTAAAAAAAAGGAAATTCAAGTATATCTGCTTTCAATTGACCAGTATCATAATAATTCAAGAAAATAATTATTAGACATTTTTCCCTTTAAGCTTATTACGTCTAATATTAGTGAAAATTCACGTAAAAGGCGTGAACCAACAATCAGTCCTTTAGTTTCTTTTTTTTATATTTTATTTATGTGTTTATTTCTTACCATTTTTTTTTTTTTGGTTTGTTTCGACATTCATGCGCGGATTCTCGCTGAAATTTGCAAAATAAAAGTGACATTGTATTCCCCTCTGGAAA